TGTAACTTAGAGGGTAAATATTTCTAAATCTTACAAAAGAAAATTTTAGATTGAAAAAATTGTATTCCTCCTTGAGCGGTTAAGATCTTCTGTCCCCAGTTGGTGTACCCATCTTCTGTCCCAGTAATTACATGCTGCCACATGTTGATAATGAAAAACTCATCAATCAAATTAGAAAGGGAAAGATCTCAGTATGGCTTCTCTTTAGTTTGATGAAAGATTAGAAAGGTGTTGTTGGGTCCAATGGATCACTTTTAAATCCCGTTTTAATAATTTGAATTATTCACATTTTAAAGTTCAATAAATACATCGATCTCTACAAAAATTAAGTTGACCGGATAATAGTAACAATGTATTTGAATCAGTTTTGTATGAAAAAAAAAAAAAATGAATAGTGAAAAAATAAACGATTCATACAAAATTGATTCGAGTACATTATTTCTGTTATTCGATCGACTTGATTTTTTGCATGAATGACAAACCTTAAATCTTAAAATGTGAACGGTTCGAATTATTAAAACGAGACTCAAAAGTAAACCCATTAAACCAGACTGGATTATCCAGTTCAATTACGGACCGGAGACGGTCCAATTCCAAAATCTCCATACCCTCTCCACCTTCTGTCACTACGAACCCTTTCCGTATCGATGGGTGAATCTTTTCCGTCTCAGCTGTGTTCTGCCTATCATCTCCTCCAAACTCTCAACATACTCTCTGCCTCGTGCATCTCCTCATCGCACTCATCAATTAACCCAATCCCTTCTTTTTTTTTTTTTTTTTTTTTTTCTATTTGATGCCTATTTGATTTTTAGAATTGAACTCACTCAATCTCCCTCTCTCAAGCAAACCGATCAAGTTCGTTGAATGTGAGAATTTAATTGCAATTTCAAAATCTTAATACACAGATACACATATGTATATATACGTGACAGACTTTTTTCCGATTTATTCATAGATTTTTAATTATCCAGCTACATATCAAACAAAATCATATCATTTGAGATGTAATTAACTGAGAGAAATGTGCTTAGTTTTTGTCCTTTTTCTTTCTTGATGGGAATGGTTTTGAATCTTGAAGCCATAAATTTTTTGCCTAGAGCTGAAATATATTTTTCACCAATTGTCACCCAAATAATTAATCGTAGAGAGAGCAGAATATGAAACTTAGGGCTCCAAAATCTTACCAAAATGTCACGTTCCAATAGGTTAAAAGAACATAGAATAGATTAAAAGAGAAGTAACAATGGAGAATAGGATCCACACCTGATGTATCGGGTACCCAGGGGTTGTCAAGTTGTAGTTGCAGCAAATAAAGAGAAACGATGAGAATGAGAGAATGGACACGTGGCAGCTTGTAGTCACTGGGATAGAAGATGGGCACAACAATTAGGGACAGAGGATCTGAGCCCCTCGCGGAAGACACTACTTGACTTTTTGTTGAATGGCTTTAAAGCATTGCATAGGAGTAACCGACGGAGTTTTGGCACTTGGTAAGGTTTTAGGGTGCAAGTCTTGAGACTTTAGGTTTTACATTTTTTTAATCAATTTTTAGGGGTTTGGTTATAGTGGTTTTAGGACGGTCCTCTAAGTGTTGAACGAACTGTATTCAGGACTTGAGTATGGGGTCAAATTTTAACAGTTGCACTCTCTGACTTAAATGGTATGTGCATTGTAGAGTCGATACACACACTCGAGATTTGCCCTCGTCCTACTCTGGTGAAACCGACATTAGGTAGTTGATTTCGAAATCGACGGAGGAGAGATTTATAGAGTTTGCTCGTTAGCTAAAAGCATTGCATAGGAGAACAAACTCTCACCTTATGTTATGATCAAATGCTATGTTTGGTTTATAGATTTAGGTAGAAATTTAAAAAATAAAAAGGAAAAAAAATAAATAAAATGTGAATGAAATATAATTACATTATATATATATATATATATATATATATATATATACTTGAATTCATGAATCAAATTCAACCTTAAAAAAATTCTTTATCTTGTGGAGAACTCTTTTTTTTTCGAAAAAAATCTTATGGAGAACTAATATGCACACAAAAAACATGTATGAGCTTGTCCATTTTTGTTTCTTCACACAATGACAACCCAAAAAACACAACCAAAAAAAAAGAAGAAGAAAGAAGAAAAAAAATATTCATATCAAATTCTTGCCCCCATTTTTCTCTTGATCTATAAATACTTTTTAATCAAGTAGGTATATCGTTTACTTTATAATTTATTTGTACGTTTTTCTTGACTTCTCTTATTTTTGGTACTAATTTTCTTATACCCTGCTTTATCAAATCCTCTACCAAACCTTTTTTATTAGAATTAAATTTGTTCAAATACAATCGGTTCAGAAAATTTAGAATCCCTATATTTTGAACAATTATTTAAATTAAATTTTTTATAAGAAAAAAAATCATAGAGCTGTGTGATTTTTCTAATCAAGTGTTAGCGCATAAATTCTGTGACTATTTTGTCAGGAATAAACCCTTCTTAAGAAAAGAACTTCACCTAATAAAAGCCGGCTACAATAAAGAATAAAGCATGCAAAGATTAAGAACAAAATAAGAGTTATACAAGGTAGATTTAGACCTAACACCATATCGGGAAGAGCATATATGAGGTTGTTTGAAATCGGGTCATGATTTAATACTTTCTGGCAATCTGGAAATTGAAGTAGTTGAATAACCTGATTTTGTTCTATATCTATTTTGAAGCTTGTATACAAGAACAATAGTGGGGGAAAAAAAATTAAATTAAATTAAAAAAGAAAAAAAAAGGGATAAAACCAAAAAAATTGACCACAGCAGAGGATAGCCCAAGCCATCAAAGATCTACCAAATTCCCACTTCACACAAAAAAAAACCAAAAGATTCAATAGAAAATTTTAAAAAATCCCTAAATACCTCATTGACAATAACTTATGACAAACTCAAAATCTGAGTTCAGAAGGTCCCCAGCATCACCCATCTGAAAGTGATCATCATTTGCTTCAAGATCCACTGATTTTCTCAAAACTTCATCTTTTCCAGTAATTCCAAAACAAGCAATCAACCTACTTCATTGTGGCTTCAGCTTCCCTCACGATGATTTTGTTTCTATTCATAACATCCCCTGTAGTTGGATATGGTGGTCCTGTGAGGGAGGTGGGTTTTAGTCTTTTAGGGAGGTGTCCAATACTACGTATTCCAGTACTTCCACAATTTGTTCAAAAAAAAGTACTTCCACAATAAACTCCTTACTCCAATTCCCTGCGCATTTAAACTCTCAATTTGGAAGCAAATAAAAACATCAATGAAACACTTTGTATTCAAGTAGTGATACTAAGCCACCAATGGTCTGCCTACTGCAAGTAATCCTATTAGATTTCTGACTTCCATTTCCTAACAAACTCTCTCTACCCAAACAAGTTTTTAGACAATAACCCCACTCCAAAAGATGTCGCCATCAATTCTTAGTAATCAATCAATGAGCTACATGGTAATATTATCAACACATTGCCTAATTCAAATATTTGACAATTTGATTAATAAACGTTGTCATATCATAAAAAATCCTGGCACCACAACACTAGTATCACCATTACTGATGTTGCGCTCAGTGTTTTTAAAGGCTCAAGGCAAACCAAGGCGCAAAAGTCTCGTGGGGCCTAGGCTCAAAGTGAGGTGCACACTTCCCTGAAGCAAGGCACACCTTTTTAGTAAAAAAATAGATAAAAATTAATATAGCCTAATAATTCAAACTTCAACATAAGAAAAATGAAAAAATTCACAATCAATAACACTTCAAAAAAGAAGTAGATCAAAAAAATAAGGACAAATCATTTTGCAAAATAAGGCAAATTGTAGAAGAATAAGCCATAAAAGCAAATATCATTACAAATGCAAAATAATCAAGATTCAACAAAACATAAATATCCCAAAAAAATCAGAAAAATGATAAATCACTTAGCTGCAAAGTTGCAAAAACTTCAGAAGATAAGTAGATCAAAAGGAGCAATAAATCCAAAAGATGAAGGAGAAGAAGAAGAAAAGAAAAATTGGAGCAGAGGAGAAAAAAATAGAAGCAACAATGTAAAAAGGAATCAGCCTAGCTACAAAAACAAAAAAAAGCCCAAAACCCAGGGTGGAAGATGAAGAAGAAGAAAGAAAGGAACAATCAAAAGGAAGGGGGGAGGAAACAAAAACAGATCCCAGATTTGTGAAGAAGAAGAAGAAGAAGATTTTCAATCCTTTGTGGCCACAAATATAAGTCTAATATGTTAACCAAAAAAAAAAAATCAAAAGCTGGTATTAGAAAGGAAAAAGAAATGCAGAATCTTTAATGAAGCGCGTGACTTGTGTGCCTTGCTGCGCTTCATTAAATGAGACTTGCCTTGCCATGTACAAGTCACATGAGTTGCGCCTTGAGCCTAGGCACGCCTATTACAACACTGATCATGCTCCACCACTATCTTCACATCCCCTCCCTCAGTTAGTCCTCCCTTCACTCTCTCAAATCTGAACCACCAATTCAATTATGCCTCTCATAACTATCATTTTGACATCATCCACTACGACCACCGTAATGTTTCATACACATCATCTGTTAGGAATTCATAACACCTAACCAATATCAGTGAGACAACAAGCAGAGAAGAAAAAATGTATAAGAATTGTAAATCACACGCATACACTCGAAGACAAGATTTACATAGTTTACCCCAAAACTAGAGTTGCATCCACAGTCTCTGCAGTTCCAATATGATACATAGATAAACCCCCACCACTCTCAACTCCATATGCATAAATAATAATAATAATAATAATAATAATAATAATAATAAAATAAAACAGGGCAACAAGTGCAAAAATAGTAAAAATACTCTCCAAATTTGGGATCCACACTACCATCAATATATATTGTATGGCATGAGTTGCTATACAAATAGTTTAGTAACTAAGCAAAACAATATCTTCCCTAATTAAAGACAGAAATACGAGACCATTTGTATGTTAGTATAATGCAACACAGGCATCAAGAATCATATATTTTCCCAACAAGATAGAAGTAGAGAACATATCAATCAATCATTAAACATGCCCAAATTGCAAATCATAATAAATTTCTCCAACTAGTAAACAAAACCCACCATCCAAATCCATCAAACAGAGATCCTAATTACAAATTTAAACCCATATTATATTACTTCTAATATCTAAAACCCCGATGCATAGTACTCTCATAATAAATCTAAAACCCTGCATTCAAGCACCTTCCAATCTCAAAAGAAAGAAAAGCATCAATACAAGCATACTGAACCTGTTCAGGGTAGAGCCACTTATTGTCCCACCTACTCATCGTAATCCTCTTGGGCTTCTCAATCTCCTTCCCCAGCACCTCTCTCGCCAAGGTCTTCAACCCCGCATTGCGAAGCTCGATCATGCCGCAGTCAACCGCCAAGGAGCGAAGATCAACAGGGGTGGCCACAGACAACCCATAATCCTCAGTCAACTTGTCGACATCGGTGTGAATACCCACACCCACAAAAGTGTAGATAGGGTTGCTGAGGAAGTCGAAGAGGGATTGGGGGATTTCGGGGGAGTAGATGAGTTGGAAGATGAGGCATCGGCAGCCGACGCAGAGTTGGAGAATGGCGGCGGGGTTATCGTGGAAACGGTTGTTGTTGGGTCGCCACTCGATGTCGAGGCCGACGATGAGGGGGTGGAGAAGGGGAAGATGGATGGGTGTGATTTCGGAGATCCAGGAGTCAACAAGGAAGGGAGAGCAAGTGACGAGAGTGTGGATTTGATCGGTGAAGAAGGTTACGTCGTAGAGGTTATGGGTGTCGTCGGGTAACTGGTAGTCTACAATGCCGAGATTTGTGGTTGTTGCTACCATTGATGGCTTTGGAGAGAGAGAGAGAGAGAGAGAGAGAGAGAGAGGGAGAAGAATTGAAAAGAAATAAATCAGAGAAATAAATATTTTTATATTATTTAGGAGAATTTGTAAATAGTTTCATACTGTACGGTTCTGAAATCTAGATTTGAGAAATTGAGAGTGATGTTGGGGGTTAATTATTCAGTACTCTAGGAGTATGGACACGTGGTGCTTCATAAAATTTTGATTTGTGGAGAGGCGTAAAGGTTCATAATTTATGTTGGGAATGAGGGAACATGCTAAATAATTGGTGATTGGCTTAGAGTATGGTCACGTGATGCTCCAAAAGTATTGAATAATTTCCCGATATTGGGACTGCAGAGTCTACTGTGGGTTCAATTTTTATGATTTCAATTATTTATTTTATTGAATTGAAAAAAAATATATATATATATATATTGAAAAATCATTAGATAATCATGAAATATTATATAATTTTATTTATATGATACTCTTAACAAATTAAAGACTCACGAAACCCGTAATGAAGTCATCTTTATCTCTTAGCAATCCAACATTAAAGGTAGATTAGTTTTGTCTCACTCATAAATTTTTTCTATACATTATTGATTAGGAATAATATGTGAATAATATTAGGGGTGCAACTCGGACGGGCTCAACCCGAGCAACCGAGCCCAGCTCGAGTTTTTTTAGGACTTAGGCAACTATATCTTGTAATCTGGATAGGGCTGGACAGATTTTTGATGTCCAAATTGTAATTCGGGCCGAACTTGGACAGAATCAATGACCAACCCGAGCAACCCGAACCCAAATTGAATTTAATATATTATATAAATTATATAATATATATAAATTAAATAAATTATATAATATATATAAATTAAATAAAAGAGGTTTAATAAATTAAATTAAATTAACCCAACTATATCTTATAATATATAACTGCCTCAGGTTTGAAGTTTTTTTACGCTTTTGATTACATTCTTTCTTATGTATTCTATCTGTTCACTTTCATAAGCTTGTTAATTCTTTATTTTACCTTTGTATTTTAAATATTGGATTTAGGGACTGGATACCATGGTAGGTGAGCATGGGACTCAATTGTCTGGTGGACACAAGTAGAGAGTTTCATTTGGTCTACCTATAGGTTTCTGGACTTGTGAATTTCGGACAATTCAGGCAATTCGGGCTAACCCGAGTTCAAAATACAAAGCTTGGTCTGGGCTTGGACAGCAATGCTCGGGTTCATGGTCGGGCTTGGGCGGGCTTGGGCACTGCCAAATACAATTCGGGCTGGACTTGAGCAAACCCCCAACCTGACCGAACCCGCCTGAGTTGCACCCCTAAATAATATTGTATAATATTTTAAAATTCTTGAATAATTAGTGAATATATATATACATTACCATATCATAGAAAAAAGAAGATAAAAAGAAAAAGACTTCTTGTTCTTCACTAATCATTTACATACGCTATTTTATTTATTTATTTATTTTTTTTTTTAATGTGGACTGATTTCTCATGTTTAAAATATAAATTATGGCTTGTTTTGAGAAGTTAGCTTTTAATTACTTTTTTTGATTTATAGTAAAAGTTGAAAGTTGACTTTTTTTAATTTTTTTTCATTTGAGAAGGTGGTTTTAAGCTAAGGGTGAAATTATAATTTTACCTTTCATATGTCAAAATATGTTACATGGGTGAAGTTATAATATTTTAAACTAAATATAAGTAGTTTGGTCATTTTATTATGATTTGACATCATAAACAAATATTAATAAAAAAAGTCAAAAGTAACTTTTTACTAACTTCCCAAATCATATGTCTAAAAAAATCAAAAACTTAATTAAAAATTAAAAAATCACTTTTTACCATCTTCTCAAAGAAAAATGATTCAGACCTCTAAAAAAAAATCACTAATGGAACTCTAATTTGTCTTTTTCTTCCCTTTCTTTTGTCTTTTACTTTACTATTTTTTTTTTTTTTATTGCTTGACAGCTCACTAGAGCTGTACGGCTGCACCTCTAATTAGAGGTCTGCAGCAGCGTTGCTTCTCAAAAGAAAAATGATTTGGACCTCTAAAAAAATACCTCTAATGCACCTCTAATTTGTCTTTTTCTTTTCTTATTTTTATCTTTTACTTCACTGTTTTTTTTTTTTTATTTTATTATTTCCGGACAACTCATTAGAACGGTACAGAATGACCTCTAATTAGAGGTCTGTAGCAAAATTGCTTCTCAAAATAGGCCTATGTCCTTCCCACAAGAAATTGTCCGTGGGAATGGATCTTTGACAATTGTTGCCTCAAGGTTCATGAAAGCATGTTAAACCCAACAACTACAACCAATGAAAATGCAAAGCCAACCCCAGACGTCTTCTTGCAATATTTTGCGAGTTCAAAGCATCTCACGTGCTATCAGTTCAAAAAAAAAAAAAAAAGCATCTCACGTGCTAGACGTAGCTAGGTCAAATGTTTTTGGGCAAATTACTTACACCCAACGAAATTAGAGTCTCTGTTCAGGTTTCAAAAATGATATTTCATTTTATTGTAATTAGTGTCGTTAACAGATATTATAAATTGATTAAAATATTTTTTTAATAAATAGGGGTAAATTACCTATACCTTTAAGGTTTAGTTAAATTATAGATTTCTCTTAAGATTTAGTTAAATGACAAATTCCCTTCTAAGTGTTAGCTAAATTATCATTTTTAAATAAGTTATGAAAAGTAAAATTAAAATAGAAAAATACTTATCACACTACAAAAAATTAAGGTTTTAAAAACTAAAATTTCAGGGACAAAATTGTTTTTAGGGAACCAAATATTTTTATTGCGAAAAGTATCGTTATTATATTTTTAGCAACGAAAATTGAATATTAGTGATTAATTATTATCTTTTTGGTATCAAATTTTTTGTCTAAAAAAATAAACTATTTTGAGATCAAATTATTTTGTCCCTAAAACTCTATTTATTATGACATTTTCGAAATTTTATCACTAAAAGCCTTATTTTTTAATTTTTAGGACTACATTTTAACAACTATCCTCACGACGATAGAAATTAATTCCTAAATATCTTTTACAACAAAATTTTCACTTTTAGAGATTAAAAAAAAATAGTCTCTAAAACTCTTATATGTTATAGTGTCAGATGGTAAAAATATCATAAAATTAACAAATAATTGAATAAAATAAAAACACAAGAAATGGCTTGTTAAAAAATTCTTAAAATATGTGTGGTTTGATTTTTAGAAATTTATTTTTAAATTTTTTTAAAAAAAATTAAAAATTAATTTGGTTAAGAAATAAAAAATAAAAAATAAAAAATTATTTTATATAATTTTATCTTTTGAGTGGTTAGAAATAATTTTTACAAATTAAATATATTTTTTCATATTTATTTTTTTAAATTTTGAAATTTTTTTTTCTAAATAATAAATCAAACATGGTTCCAAAAAGTTAATTTTTTCCATCTAATATAATTCTTTTGTAAATTTTGTTCATTTATCAAGGGGATTTCAGCAGGGGCAATATCGTCCATCAATTTATATTTTGGTGATGTCAGTTAACTAATCTTAATTTTTAATTGACGGTTGGGGTTAAATTATTATGCGAATATAAATCTCAGGATGAAATGTAATTTTTAAAATTTTAAGAGAAAATCTGTAATTTAGTTAAAATTTAAGGGAAGGGTAAGTAATTTGTCCAATTTTTTTAGTGCAAAAAAATCTTCCATGGGCACCCCTTTCCGCACAAGTCATAATCACACTTGTTGGGAGTTGGTTTTTCTCTTATTTACTTTGGGGGACAATTGGGCCTTGTTTGGCTTGTGTTTAGAAAAACTTTTCAATTTTTTTCTTCCCTAATCTTTTGGTATGAAAAGAAGTTAAATTTGTTGAATTTGGTGGTTCAACAACATTTGAAAATAGGGTAAATTATAAATGCATCTCTTAAAATTTGATTAAAATAAGAATTGTTTTCTGTAGCTTTGAAAATTATATTTCACCTCTGAGATTTCTAATTTCATAATAAATCGCTCTTTTTATTAATAAATCATCAGTTCAATTAACCGTTTTTAATGATGTTAGAAATATATTTTAATTAATAATTTTAGTAATTTTATTACTGTATAAGAAAACAATTATGAATTTTATTTTTTAGTTAATTTTGTTAAATAAAAAATTCTAATAAGGGGGTATTTGTAATTTTTTAAACTACAGGGGACAATCTATACCAAGCACATATCTGAAGAGATATATTTATATTTTACTTGAAAAAAAATTGGAAAATTTGGCCTAGGGTCCCTCTCCCACTTTTCATAATGGAAGAGATCCACAAAATTATTTTTTGATGTCTAAGGTCCCTAAACATATATCAGAGAAATTTGACTCTTTGCCC